GGTAGAGGTGTACATCATATGAGTCATTAACCTTATTGTCTGGGCATGTTTATTCACCTATCCACTCACTTTCAGAACTGAGTAATTCTCATTTGAAACTTTGCTTTTGTGTTTTGAAAGGGACCTCACAAAACTGGGTGACTGGGCAACAAAATGGCAGATGAAACTCAATGTTGATAAATCCAAAGTAATGCATATTGGAAAACATAATCCCAACTATGCATATAAAATGATGGGATCTAAATTAGCTGTTACCACACAAGAAAGAGATCTTGGAGTCATTGTGGACATCCACTCAATGTGCAATGGCAGTCAAAAAAGCTAACAGAATGTTGGGAAATAATTAGGAAAGGGATAAATAATTTGGCCAAAAATATCATATTGCCTCTAAAATACATCTTGTATACTGCATGCAGATTTGGTTCCCCTATCTAAAAAACAAAAAGATATTGGAAAGGGTACAGAAAAGGGTAACTAATATGATTAGGGTATGGAACAGCTTCCATATGAAAAGACGTTAATAAGACTCGGACTTTTCAGCTTGGAAAAGAGACGATCAAGGGGGATATAAAAATCATGATTGGGGTGGAAAAAGTAAATAAGGAAGTGTTATTTACTCCTTATCATAACACAATAATTAGGGGTCACCAAATTAAATTAATAGGCAGCAGGTTTAAAACAAACTAAAGGAAGTATTTTTTCACATAGCGCAGAGTCAACCTGTGGAACTCTTTGCCAGGGGATGTTGTGCAGGCCAAGACTATAACAGGGTTCAAAAAAGAACTAGATAAGTTCATGGAGGATAGGTCTATCAATGGTTATTTGCCAGGATGGGCAGGGTTGCAAAACCATGCTCTGAAGTGTCCCTAACCTCTGTTTGCCAGAAGCTGGGAATGGGCAACAGGGGGTGGATCAGTTGATGATTACCTGTTCTGTTCATTCCCTTTGAAGCACCTGGGATTGGCCACATTCAGAAGACAGGATACTGGGCTAGATGGACCATTGCTCTGACCCAGGATGGCCGTTCTGATGTTTTGTAGAGAAGGGGCTGTTGCTTTCCTGGCTCTGATGTGTTTATTAATTACTTTTTAAAATGCCCTTTAAGTTATTGCTTACTTTTAATTGTTTCCTATGTGCCATAACTACTCTAGATTTGTCTTTTAGGCCCCAGTCCGCAAATTAATCCACATGGGTAGACCATAACCCCCTTACACCGAGCCCTATTGGAGTCAATTAAGTAAAATCACCAGCCCATAACAATTCCCCCAAAAACTCTAGTCAAGACCATTCCAATTCTACTGCTGCTCCATGGTGGAAGTTACTGCATAGGGCATGTCTCATTTGTGCACCAAAATATTCCAATGAGGGAGGAAAGAAAGGAAGAGCCCATCAAAGACACTAACTTGTACTTTGAATTGGAATGCAGTACTGTGTTTTATTGGTACTAAAAATTGACTGAAATGGTAAGTATATGTATATTTTATGGAAAATTTCACTCATTAGTATTCTTTGTGGATTACTGTTAATCCTGTACTAACAAGGTGTGGAAAAAAATTACATTTACTAGCCAGAGGACTAAACCTGCTAGTCAGACATAGTTGTGAAGGTTTTCATAGACTATCAGGGTTGGAAGGGACTTCAGGAGATCATCTAGTCTAACCCACTGCTGAAAGGAGGACCAATCCCCAATTAAATCATCCAACAGATTTTTGCTGCATATCACTGAATGGCCCCCTCAAGGATTGAACTCACACCCCTAGGTTTAGCAGGCCAATGCTCAAACCACTGAGCTCTCCCTCCTGCCTCAAGAAAAGCTGTCCTCCTTTGTAACCCTCTATTGCTGGGGTGTCTACTAGTGACACACACACACACTTACTTTACATTAATTTAATTATATTGGTTTCTAAAGTGATATAGTTAATAGGAACAAAAACTATGTAGACAAGCCCTAGGTAGTTGCCCCTGCACCTTTTAAAGCAGCTTGTGACTTGCTCTGATGAAGTAAGAGCTTCAAATTTATCTCTTCCCGAGGCTTCTTTTCCCACAGGGGTGATTCTCCACTACTCTCCCCATCCCCAGCCTCTGTTTTATCCTCCTCACTATTCCATAACAACAGATCCTGCCTTTGCTCATGATGATACATTTGGATTGTGTACCTGGTACGGTTCACCCCTCTCCCTGCCACCTGCCTCTTCTGAAGCATGAGAGACTCCAGTGCACATCTACCTAGAGTGCGCCAGGTTGCAGCCTCTTTTCCGGCTCCTCCAGAACCTTCTCCTTAGGTTCTGCCTGCACTTTTCCCCGCACCTGCTAATTTATGCACCCCTCATCCATGGTCCCCTGAAGTCAGGAGACCTCCTCATCAACCTCCTTCTGGCACTAGCCCAGGTGGCCATTCATCATATCAGTAGGAAGATGTTGGAAGCGGAGGCAGTCTGCGATTGTGAGGCCTATTTCCGCTCCTCCCTTCGATCGCGCATTCGGACAGTTTCTCTGGGCTGCGTATGCTAGCTCCTAGACACCTTCGAGGAGCAGTGGGTGCTCTCCAGGGTTTGCTGCTCAGTGTCTCCTTCTGGATTCCTGATTTTGGCCCTATGACCTCACTCCTGTCCCTGTTTTTCATTTGTTGTCCCCTGAACTTGCTTGAGCCCCGGGTTAAGTAGCTCATCCCCTTAGGCTCGGGTGGGGCCTTCAGATGTGGGCAGGCTTATGCCCGGCCACGCCTGGAACTCAGTAGATGCTCATACATTTGGAAAAGCAGCAATAGCATAAAATTGACATGATTCTTGCTCCTTTCTCTGCTAGCCTTACAGTTCTGAATGGCAGTAGTGGTACTGCCTAGTGCATAATTAGCTGCATTCTATTACTGCTTGGCAAAGTTGTCTGTCCACAGGCATAGCTGTGAAAGGATGGGAAGTATCGCACACCTTCAGCTGTAGATTTGGCAGCACATCAATGACTGTGCTGAGATACGGAGAAACCCTGCAATCAGGCAGGTGGGTAAATTTAAACAGGACTGTACATTTCAGAGTTTTGTATTTTGCTTTGGAGAATCACTACCCTGAAGTGGATCTTTTTTGTGTTCCCGTCTCTCTGCATAGCAGATCTGTGTTAACACACAGATTGTCTCTAACATACAGAAACTTATCAATCAATGGAACAAAAACAAAGTTTCTGTTCTGTCAGGTATCTTATGAAGGCAGGATGGAAACTGCATAATTGAGAACATTTGTACAGATAAAATTCCTGCCTGACCCTTTAACTTCCTGTCTCCTTATCCTCATGTCCTCCTTTGACCGAGAGCTTCAGATCAGCTCATTCTACATCACAAAATTCCTTATCTAGCCATTACCTGGCCTCCTTCAGTACTACTGGAGAATAGTAGTATTGAATGGAGGGTCCTCCTGGCCCCTCTTCCTTTCCCTACTTCCTCGTTTCCCAGTCCATCAACCTATTCTCTTCTCTAAGTCCTCTTCTCCATTGTGTCAACCACTGACTCTCTCCACTCCACACTTTCCACCATCCTGGACTTGTTTGACCATCTCCCCCCTTGCAAAGTTCATCCATTCAAGCAACCTCAAACCCTGACTCACCCCCCAGCATCTGTTTCTTCTTTTCCTGCTCTCCACCAGCTGATCATCTTCACAGAAGTCCTGCTGTGACCATGCAGACTTCCTCCACTACAAAATGTACTGTCTCCTTCTACAGCTCTGCCATCTCCCTAGCCACCCAGTAGTATTTCTGCATCCTCACTGAATCCTACATTTCTGAGATCTGACCTAGTCTCTCAATCCACACTGCTAAAGCTCTTGTCCAGGCCTTGTCACTTTTGTGTCTTGACTATTGCCACATCCTCCTTTCTGTTCTTGATAAATGCAACCTTGCCCCCTTTTAAATCCATTCAAAATGTTGCTACTAAAAGTCACCTTCTTGGTTAATTGCTCTGACTAAATAGCCCCTCACACTTTTTCATTCCGCCACTGGATTCCCCCCCCACACCTCAAATACAAGCTACATATTTTTTTACCTTTTGAGTGCCTTCCTGGCTTTGTATTACTCTGCCTATCAACTCTAATAATTACACCTCAACCCTGATATAACATGGTCCTCGGAAGCCAAAAAATCTCACCGCATTATAGGTCAGACTGCGTTATATTGGGTTCAGTCCGGTACGCCGTGCTGGACTGGACAGGCTTCCCCAGCAGTGATTTAAAGGACCCGGTGCTCCAGCCGCTGCGGGGAGTCCCAGGCCCTTTAAATCACCGCCGGAGCTCCGGCAGCAGGGCTCGGACGGGGATTTAATAAAATTTGTTTTGTTTGTTAATTGGTAAAAGGGGTAACAAACCGAACAAAGCAGATTACTAAGCAAATTAAATCAAACATGCAAACTAAACTAGTTTCACTAAAGAAATTGGTTACAAATAGTATTTCTCACTCTAGATATTGTTGCAGACAGTTTGCAAAGTTTCTGTGGTTCAGAGTTCCAGTTATATTCCTTTTCAGACTAGACCCCAGTCTCAGTCTGGACTCCCCCTTTGCCTTCCCTTCAGGTGGCTTTTGCAGTCTTCCTTGTTGGGCAGACTGCCATGGAGAGGAGGAGTCCCGTTTGCCTTCCTCCTTACCCTTAAATAGGATTTACATAAGGCGGGAATCCTTTGTTTCCCAAATTTGATCCACCTTCCCTAACAGTGGAAAGTTACAAGAAATCCCAGGTAATGTTTTAGTATCAGGTGACAAGAACACCTGACTAAATAAGGAGTAATGGTCTCAAGTTGCAGTGGGGGAGGTTTAGATTGGATATTAGGAAATACTTTTTCACTAGTAGGGTGATGAAGCACTAGAATAGGTTACCTAGGGAGGTGGTGGAATCGCCTTTCTTGGAGGTTTTTAAGATCAGGCTTGACAAAGCCCTGGCTGGGATGATTTAGTTGGGGATTGGTCCTGCTTTGAGCAGAGGGTTGAACTAGATGACCTCCTGAGGTCCCCTCCAGCCCTGATATTCTATGATTCTATGACTTTTTGGTATCAGAGTCCATGAGTCAGTGGCAGTATGGAGTGTCCACAGGAAGGCCAATCTTTTCACAGTCCATTGTCCTCACTGATGGGCCGTCTGCCCCGTCTGGCTTATCCATTGTTGTACCTGAAGTGTTAGCAGTGGGTGTCACCCAAAGTAGCATAATTGAAATACAGATACACAGTCTATATTCCTAACTTCAGATACAGACATGATACAGGCACACAGATTAATCACATTCAGTAAATCATAACCTTTCCAGTGATATCTCACATGAGCCATCTTGAATAAAAGTATATCTTAGTTATGTCATTCATATCATAAGCATATTTTAATAAAGAATATGGAATGACATGTCACATAATGCCCCTGTACTCACTTGGAAAAACTTCTTCTTCCCTATTGGTGGGTAGGCAAGTAGACTTTTTCCAAGCCCCACTGAATGGATATCTGGGACTTGTTTCCTTTTTGTGGGCAATAAGGCAGATGTGACTAAAGAGTTAATGATTGGTGTTATTGACTTATGCGCTGGATCTAACCAGCTCTTCCTGGTGGCCTGCTCCAATCACCTGATTGTGTGTTGTAGTAGAACTGACTAAACTATAGCTACTTTGAACTTGTGAACTGTGAGCAATAAACTTTTTTGAAAACTTAGTTTCAGGTAGTTGCTAACAAAACAATTGTTACATACAAGGTTACTGTAGGAGAGGTACATCCATCTCTGCTGCTGTTCTCCGTCAACAGAAATACTGCAACCCCTCTTCTCTTTTGTAGGGGAAAGTCTTGGTTTCATGCCTGCCCAGAGATCAAATTGGGCCTCCTAGTGAACCAGTACTGTACTTCTTTGGTGCAGGTGGAAGACTGCCTTTTTGAGTTCATGACTCTCAGCTTTCATAGAAAAACAAATTAAAGCACCACCTGGGCAAACACCTGCATGTGTTCAGAGTCCTTTGAAGTCAGGGGCTTGATTGCACAGACCGAGTTGGAGGCTTGGGGCTAAGTCCTTATGGATACAGTGCTCTGAATCCTCTCTAGAATTGCATGCTATGCATATTGTCATTCCAAAACATATGAGGAAATTAGCATTGTAAGCACATACATCACAATTTGTCACATGAAGCAAAAAGTCTAGTCTACTATAATTTGTATTCTTAAATGAAATTGAAAAAAACCGCTTACATATCAAAAAGTAGAATGCAGCTGTGCAAGCCCTTTTTAATCAGTAAACCATTCTGTTTGTTCACAGATCAGTAAGTCTCAGTGCCTGGTGTACTCTGATCTCTTCAGCAGAGAATTTATAAATCAGTTGTCCAGTTTGCTGAAAGAAATAGAAAATGGCCAAAGTTGAAAAGCTTGCTCTTCATGTCCCAAGTCTAGAGGAACTTTCTGGGGGTAAGTAATGCAATTTATAGTGTTATGGAAGTTGTTGCAATAAGAAATGACAAAAAACTAAATTTTGTATTCAGCTCTTTGCCCCTGTGTCCTAAATAGAGCTGGGTAGAGGCTGGCTTTGACCTGATAAAGTTTTTCCCATCTGAATTATTCTAAAACAGCAAACTGTGTCTGTGCATCCATCCCATTTATAACCTTCAGCCCGATGATTGGACACTTGTTTGGGAAATGGGAGACCCCATAATTGAATCCCTTCTCTGGAGCAGAGACTTGAACTCGGATCCCTCCGCCTGGGGAAGTATCCTGGCCTCTAGGCTACAGACTGTTTTGGAGTGGGTTGCTCGTAATCTCTGCTGTTGAAGCTGTTCCACTTTATAAAAATACTTAATATCCTACATGAGAGGCAAGTGCCATAACCACTGGGCTAAAGGTTATAAGATGAATGGATAGCCACCGCAGTGAACATTTTTGGACAGGTGTCAGAGTAGCAGCCGTGTTAGTCTGTATCCGCAAAAAGAACAGGAGTACTTGTGGCACCTTAGAGACTAACAAATTGATTAGAGCATAAGCTTTCGTGGACTACAGCCCACTTCTTCGGATGCATCCGAAGAAGTGGGCTGTAGTCCAC